CCACAGTCTGTGACTCTGAACAATGTGGTTTGGAAAAGCCCTTAAGTTTTTCTCCTTTTACTGTTGATGTTGTTCGTGAAGCTTTAACCAAGTTAGATCCTAAGAAACCGGCAGGTCCAGACAACGTAGAACCTTTCTTTTTAAAGATAGCTGCAGATTGTATTGCTCCACCTCTCACTACTCTTTTTAACCTCTCCCTCAGCACGAAGACAATTCCAAAAGTATGAAACTCAGCTTATGTCCTGCCTTTGCTAAAAGGTGGGGAGGCTACTTTATTAAATAAGTATAGGCCCACCTCTAAATTGTCAGTTCTGGTTAAGGTTCTTGAAAGCCTGGTGAGTGAACAGGTAAAGGAGTTATGTAAACATCAGTCAGGTTTCAGAAAGCAACATAGCACCATCACTGCGACAATGAAAGTTGTAAATGATATTGCGGATATCTTAGACAATAAGCAGAGTTGTGCAGCTCTGTTTATTGATCTTTCCAAGGCGTTCGATACCGTCAACCGTCATATCCTGAAGCAGAGGCTGGCCTGCATTGGTATATCCAGCCATGCAGTGGGGTGGTTTGTGAACTACTCTCTGAAAGGTCCCAATGTGTTCAATTTGATGGGCTGTCTTCTGAGTGGTTAAACATTGCTAATGGTGTTCCTCAGTTCTGTTTTAGGTCCACTATTATTCTCCATCTACATCAACAGCTTAGGTCAAAATGTGGATGGAGCAACTTTAAATTTGTATGCGGACGATACCGTGATGTATTGTGCAGGTCCCTCCATTAAGGAGTAGGGATAGGTACCGAGCCCCGGTATTAAACGGGCCGCGGGGCTAAATTATTAAAGACCGTGCCGTTAAGCTCCGACGTTAGCGGTCTTTTTATCGGTAGGCCTACTGGTGGAGACATGTACAAAATATATGTCACGTGTATTATTGCTACACAAACATTATATTGCAGTTTTAGTGTCGCCAACTCCGTTTCTAACATGCAAAAAGACTGCAAAATGCGTCTATGATTAGTATTTTCGATCTCTCTCCCCCGCCTGCTTGTGAGGGGGCGGGGCAGTTTACACACACGCAGCTGCTACTGTACATGCAGCAACACACACACACACGGAGGAGATGGCGGAGAGAACGCGCTCCGAGGTGTGGTTAAACTTTACCCGTCTCGATGCTCTTTACCAACAGTGCTATAAGTGTTTAGCATGTAAGGGCGGTAACACGAGCAATTTGTCTAAACATTTAGCAAAAGTGCTCCACATTCAGACGGAGGAATGCACCGGGTTCGACTGTCTTTCTAGCAGCTCTGTAGCCCCGTCCACGAGTAACGTTTCCACGTCAGGTATTATGTATGCTAGCAGCAACACACGGAGTTAACTACATTGTACAAACATGGGTTAATGATGAAAGGTAACTGAGTTATTTAGTTTGTTAAAGTTTCAGCTATTCTGTTTACAGTTATGTCATCAGATTATTTAATACGATTTGTTAAAACGTTGTTGTTTCTTTTGATGTGAAATATTATGTATTTAATTTAAATAAAAAGCAATGTTATTTTTGTTCACAATTTGTTTAGTTAATTTTTTTCTCCAAAAGAACCGATAAAAGTACCGTTAAAAGATCGGACCGATAAGCGGTATCGATAAAAGTAGTAGTACCGTTAAAAACGTTAAGATACCCATCCCTATTAAGGAGGCTGTTGTTAAATTGCAGGCTGTTTTTAATATTATCCAGATGCAGCTCTCTGAACTAAAGCTTCTTTTAAATGTTGATAAAACTAAGGTAATGCTATTTTCAAAAGCTAAAAAGACACCAGTGTGACGACCACTCCACACCACGTGGGGTGCCGTCTGGTTGTGCGTGTGTTTTGTGTGATTGCAGGTTCCAGCTGCAACTGTCTGATGAGGCACACCTGATCAAACAGGATATAGGAGGAGCCCAGCCGGTTACGTCGGTCTCACTCATCTGGGCACTTTCTCGGCGCCAGTTTCGGGACCTGATGCTGGTGTTTATTTAGTTGACATGTTTAACAAATAAACGTATATTCTTACCTCTCGTCTCGCCTCCCTGCTTTATGTTACAGCCCACGAGCCGGGTTATAACACCAGAGACCACTTTGGATATTGTTACTGCGCAAGGAAAAGTACTTGAAGTGGTTTCCTGTTATAAATACCTTGGTATCTGGCTTGACGATTTCCTCTCTTTTAAACTTCAGGTTGATAACCTGCTTAAAAAACTGAGGTTGAAGTTAGGTTTATTTTTCATAAACAAGTCCTGTTTCTCACTTGAGGCCAGGAAAAGGCTCTGTGACCTTTTTACCTGTGCTGGACTATGGTGATCTGCTTTATATGAATGCACCTGCCCATTACCTGATCAAGTTAGATGCTGCATATCACAGTGCACTGAGATTTGTTACAAATTGTAAAGCACTTACTCATCACTGTACCCTGTATGCCAAGGCAGGTTGGCCTTCACTTACTTCACGGAGGCTCAGTCATTGGTACATGTTCATTTATAAAGCCATGTTGGGTAAACTCCTATCTTACATTTGCTCTCTGATCACACAGAGAGTTGCAGGTAGCTATTGCCTGAGATCACATGATGTGGTTTTGTTACATGTGCCAAGAGCAAGGACTGACTTAGGTACGAAAGCTTTTATGTGCGCAGCTCCACTTACATGGAACAGTCTTCAAAAATATTTGGAAATAAGCAAATTGGTTCCACTGCCTGTTTTCAAAGCTCGGATAGGTGCAATGATAATTGATACTCTTTTGTGTTATCTGTTTTCTGTTCACGTTGTAACCTACTTGCTGCCATGTTGGACAGGACCACCTGGTTGAATAAAGGTTTAATAATAAATAATGGTGAGAATGCCAGACTACAGAGTCACTTCAAACAGCTGCTTGGAAATCATTACGAAATCATTAAATAAGAGAGAGGCGTCAACATTGCAGTTGAGCTACAGGATTACTCCCAGACACATTCCCACATTTAAACCCACTGCAGTGGTTAGCATGTAATAAGGGAATATTCCCCTGTCTACTTATCTAGCCAGGTTTTACAAAAGCTACCAGCATGGACGTCACACACAAACAATACATACATACGTGTGCTTACAATACCTTTTTTGACAACTATAGGGCAGAAACTGTATTTCGCAGCTGCAAAGCTAGTTGTGAAACGTGTCTCTCCAGCTGCAAGGTGACGTCTCGCTGACTCACCCTCTCTCTCTTTGATGATGCCAAAGAACCAATTCTGTGATGTGTGAATCACTGGAGAACAGAAGAAGACACGATCCTTGGTTCTTTCACCCACCCCTGAAAGATTTCCTTTTATATATCCTTTCATTTAATATATAGACTGCTGTATTTCTTCACATCCAAGGCTGGATAAGCAGTCAGGGAAATGCCCCGGGTTCCCAGAGAGGGTGACCAGTGGCCAAGTCACATGTTGGGCAAAGAGTAGGTTTGTGAGGGACAATGTGGGACACTTACAGCGATGCTTAGAGGTAGTTTAGATTTCCATAATGTTCATTTAACCCTAAAGAAAATATCAACATTTCTATTGAAACTATTAGCTTGCAAATATGAATACTAGGTTTTTCTATAGGTTGATTTGTTTGCACAAACTATGCAAGTTAAGGACTTACATATATTTGACCGCAGGTAGCTTACTACCACAAACTGCTGACCTGCACAGTGTGGTATACGTTCATTATTTCACCTTGTCTGTTTGGATATCCTCTTTTGGTTTTTCTTTATGAGTCAGGGGTTTCTTATGAGTCTTGCGTAGCTTCAAATCCTATTCACTTCTGGGAGCGATTAAAAAAGAAAAAACTCTGGCAAATGTCACAAAACCTGGGACTATGGACTGATCTCTGTTTCCTCAACAAGGCAAGGACAAACAATGGCGCTTTGTGTATGCAGCGCTTTTAGTAAACGCTGTGCATGTTTCATTAAGTTGGTGAAGATGTTTCTTCATTTGCATGTTTTGATATTTGCATTGTTTTTGAAAGTGTGCAGCTGCCCCCCCAAGTGTGTGTGTGTGTGTGTGTGTGTGTGTGTGTGTGTGTGTGTGTGTGTGTGTGTGTGTGTGTGTGTGTGTGTGTGTGTGTGTGTGGTTTCCGATAAACAAATGCTACAACTCCACAAACCGCCTTCTGATGCAAGTGAAAGATCTCTGTTTAATATTTATGTTGTCATGACAGATTGAAAGATTAGCAAAGAAAGGTTATGTCACTATTTACTATTCTTTGTATTCATGTTAAGTTATTTGAAGAGGACAGGTTAAGCCTATATTCATTAGAATATTTAGTTACCTAGTATGTCCTCCCTTTTTAACACAATAACTTGTCGTCTACTTAAAAGAGGCCCCATTCTGCTCGTGGGGTTCCCCCTTTCCTTTGTGTGTTCTATAGATTTGCGTGGATTTAAATGATCTGCAAAGAATCTGAAAATGACAGAATATTTCCTTTTTAAAATCAGTATCCCTTAAGCTTCTAGTGAGCGTAGCTGTGTGAAAATGGATCCCCTCAGACCAGACACCTGTTGGGTTTCAAGCTAGTTATGTTCATTTCCATGTCGAGATAATCTGCGGCTGTTATTTTCAAACCAGCTCAGCCAGTTCTTACTTTTGCATATTGGTGTATTTAGTTTAGCATGAGTTGAAAAAACCTGAAGGAGCATTCATAGGGATTCTTTTTTTAATTTGAAATGATATTGTGAAATATCACCAAACCCTATAGATTTCAGTATCCATAATATCAATGTCAGTATCCCTAAAACCCAAGATGACTGCTACTGGAACAGGGTGTGACTTATTCCCAGTTCCGACCCCGACTTCTTGTGTGTGTGTGTGTGTGTGTGTGTGTGTGTGTGTGTGTGTGTGTGTGTGTGTGTGTGTGTGTGTGTGTGTGTGTGTGTGTGTGTGTGTGTGTGTGTGTGTGTGTGTGTGTGTGTGTGTGTGTGTGTTGTGTGTGTTGTGTAAAATGGTTTTCAGGAACCTTACCTGGTCTGCCACTCTGTAAACCTCGTTCTTGTTGCTGCAGTCACACACATAGTAGTGCACTCTGCTGGCTCCGCTCTCTTTAGCCAGTCTTGCCGTTTCCTTCATCCCCTCCTGGTTAATATCCCACAACACTAGCACAGTGTTGAGAGCCGCAAACTCCTGAGCCATGAGGCGACCGATCCCACTGCCCGCCCCAGAGATCAGGACCACCTCTCCTTCTATGTTCTTCCTCTTCCTGGGCACAAACAGGTAACCGAAGGACTCCAGATTGTACCAGATGGACAACAGGAGGACTTGGAGGGTTTCCAGGATGAAATTCATGATGGATCTAAGAAGGAAAATACAGAGAACATACATTACATAATGAGATAGCAGGCTAAACCCAAGTCCAAGGTTTAGATATTTGCTTTTTTGTTAGAGATCAATATGTGAAAGTATTTCTTGTCGAATGTTTTGCAGCAGAGAAACTGCCCTGTTGTGAGTTATGGCACATATAGACAAAGATCTCTGGTCTGTGTGGTTTTCACAGGAAGTTTGAGGTAGGCAAGCGTGTGTGGACTACACCGAATTTGGCAACATTTAAAGTAAAATGAGAAGAATTAAAACGGTTAGTTTCCAAAAGCTGACATTATCTGAGCATTGTAGAAACACGAGCCCACATATTTTACCCCACTTGCCAGAACCTGTGAGTGCGCTCACCCTGAATGGATCAATAGATTGACCACATGTGGGTCTCACATGGGAAACTGTGTCCTTGTGTGTCCTAAAGGGGCATTTTGGAGGGATATTTTACAATTTAAATGAATTCAACAATGCTTAAATGTGGCACCAAATAAAAAAAATTAAAATGCCAATCCAAACATTGCTGTTGATTATGATTACCTGAACCCATAATTACATACTGTAGATGAAGAGAAACACTAACCGGCATGTTTTTTCACTTAAACATCAATTGGAACGACACAAAATAGAGCCTGGGAATAGTCCTCGTTTATAACCATCCTGTTTTAAGCACTTATACACTTTAAACTGTCGAATGTGAGGTACAAAAAAGGGTCTATGTGTGTCTCTAATGGTCAATGAGGACAGCTATTATTTAACATGACATTTACTTTCTAACTAAGTGCAGGTGCATGTTTGGAATTGTTATGTTCATCTACTCATACATGTATCACTTTAGCACGAGATGTAACTATTTGCATGCTTTTTTACAAATATTTGACATTCAAATTTAAATCTACTAAATTATGGATAATGAATCCATTCACTTTTAAGATGAATACTACTCAAATTAATCTCAACAAAAATTGGTTTGTTTGGTGTATTGAAACTTTCAGCGGTGGAAGAAGTACTCAGATCTTGAACTTGAAGTAGAAGTACCAGAGTGTAGGAATACTCGCCTACAAGTACAATTCCTGCATTCAAAATGTTACTCAAGTAAAAGTAGAAAAGTATTAGGATCAGAATATAGTTAAAGTACCAAAAGTAAAAGTAGTCATTGTGCAGATTGGTCCATTTCAGGATATGTTTTATAATGATTTGATCATTAAAGTGTTATCAAAGCTGGTAAAGGTGCAGCTAGTTTGAATGACTTTGTATACTGCAGGGTAGCTTGTGAATTTACTCCAGGTGGAACTAAAGTCTGATTTAACACTTGATTATATTTCACATCATTCATCCAAATCTGAAAAGTAACTAAAGGTATTAAATAAATGTAGTAAAAGTACACCATTTACCTCTGAACTGTAGTGGAGTAGAAGTACAAAGTAGCAAAATATTTGAAATGCTCAAGTAAAGTGCAACCTGGTTATCAATGAATGACTTCAGCACAAGCTTTAGCTATTTGCATGTTTTGTTCTTTTGTGGAATAATATCGCGTGCTAATTAAGACGCTGGATTGTCAAAATCATGCGCTGTGTGTTCTGAAGGGTTGCCTAACCCGGATAATACACTTTCCTTTCAAATACAATACTAGTTATCACTGAGCAATAAACTAAAGACAAATAGCGACTTTTTGTAAAGAAAGCGGAAAGTGGCAGATAGGACAGAGCTTAATAAAGCATTTATTCGACAGGAGCGTCTAATTTACCGTTATGCTGTGAGCTCCCAGTGAGAGTTGTGCAGGGCTCCGCGGGAGGTAAATAAGAGTGACTTTGCTCACCGCACAGGCGTCCGTTACACAACCACTGCTGTCTCACGTTCCTCCGTGTCCCGCCCTCTCTGTCTGTCACAGTATGGCCCAATCCCAAACCACGCCCTACACCCTACCCCTACACACTCCCCCTCCGTGACGGAGTGAACTCCGTGGAGTGACACCATGGGCCCTTCTCACTTCGGTTAAATGGATTCCTTGCGTCCCTCATTTGCGTCGTTTCCCTGCGACTAGTCCCTCCCACCAGGGAAGCAAGGAGAGATGCAAGGAAACCACGAGAAGCAGGGAAATGAGTTTTAAGAGCAATGGGATGTCCTTTCCTCCGGAGCGTCACGTGAAGCGACGTCCGTTTGATGACGCTGCACAGCTGATCGTCTGACAGCAGCTCTGTTCTCGTTATTTCCACACACACCCCCGCCTCTGTTAGTACACATTTACTGACACAAACATTTGTATCATCTGTTGTAGACCCAAATAAATAAAAATAAAATAAGAACTCATACTCAAAAAAGATAAACGCCATTCTTAAAATGTATAAACGAACAATAGTTTGATTAATATTGATTAGAGTGCACAAAATAAATAAAATAATTGAGAGAAGAAAAAGAGATATATTATCTATCAAAACCCAGTTAGATTAACATTCATTGGATTGCACACTTTGTGTGTTTGTTTGGATATGTAGCAAATTAACATTTTAATAGCACTTAATGACTGACTGAATGGAAATGACAATAAATGAAAATGTAAAACAAAAAAGCGATCATGAAAATGTTTCCAAAAAATGAATAAAATGATTTTTGACCACTTTGTTGTTCAGATATATCACATATTTGTAACTAAATGAAACATTAATTGGAACAAAACACGGTATAAACTGAGGAGTGACTCCCGTGAGGTTCATGTATTTTCTTCACTCCGCTGGGAAACTGCTCTCATGTCAAGAAGCATCAGATCAGTGCATGCACTGCATCGTCCAATCAGTGAGCGTAAGGGGGCGGGGCGAGTGTCTGAGGATTTCATCGAAGGATGGTCTGGTGGTTCCTCGGTTATAGCTCCTCCATTATCGCTCCTCGCTCCTCCGGCAAAAATAAGGCCATTGGGACGCTACTCAAGATGGCGCAGACAAATCAACTTCCGGTGAGACTGAGGAGCGAGGAAATGAAAAATAAGAGAAGTGAGAAGGGCCCCATGGATGTATAATAGAGTGACACTCGCAGCTAATGAGGCTCCCTCCTGTCAGATGGAGGGAGTAAATACAGCGGCAAGCTTTGGGACAAACTTACTTCCGGGTGTACAATTCTCTGTTATCCAATGGGAATGGACGCTCACATTGCCTTTAACAGCCACCGACATAAATGGATGCGGTGCTTCCATGAGCGTCAAATACAGCCGCCGATGGGAATACATTGCAATCAGTTGAAAGCTCTTTGCGTCCGTTTATGATGAAGGAGCCTCGGCGCGTCCCAACTGCACGCCACGGGACGGGACCAGTGGCGGCTGGTGGCCTATTTTTCTGGTGGGGTTCCGGGGGGAATCCCCCGCATTTTTTTTCTTCAGAAATGACCCCTTAAATGACTTCTGGTGATGTTGGGGGGGGGGGAAGAAGACACATTGAGGCTTAAAAATATGAGAAGACTGATCAATACCTCCATAATCTGCAGTGTGGAAAATATTATTTATCAACCTGAACATCTACACTTTACCAGGAATTTGTATTCTCAGAACTGGTCTTTGTTTTTTTCTTTCTTAAAACTGTTCATGTTTTAAGAACCAACACCTCCACCAAGTGGCTTTACAGTGAACTGCATGTGTTATGTAGATAATGTGTTTCTGGTCATTAATAGCATATTTTCAGTAGCATGAATTATAAATATTTAAGTGGTTGTGAATTAATGCAATTTAAAAAAAAGAACCACAGCACAAAACGTAGAGCTTTACATTTGTATAAGACTTGTTTTTGTTTCTGAGGATTATTTACAAACAGGCTTATTTACATATAGCAATAACTCAGAAATGAAAAAGCTACATCATCTAGCACGAACAACCAGTTAGCATAATGATAATACATTTGTTATGTACAATGTAACTGGCAAGACTAGAGCAAGAAAGAACATAAAGAAGTTTGCAAAAGGTTTAAATAACTTCAAGTATCTGTCTTCAGATTTCGTGGAGGTTTTAGTCCGATGGGAAGCAGATTTAAAGCGACACCGAAGATAAACCAAATATGTGGTGGAGCTGCAAACCGTGTAGTGTTGCTGGGACAGGAGGAGCTATAACCGTTGGAAAATACATCACAGACAATGCAACAAACGTGGAGACAGAACAATCACTTCTGTGATAAATGCCCACTTATTAATAAACTTCTAACACAACCATGGGAAACCTCCTCTCTACATACATAAAGTGATATCCAGCTTATTGGCCTATAGCACCTTTTTTACTGCTTTGAATAACAAAAACAAAAGGAAACAATAAACAACTGTTCCTCTGGGGGAAATGAGTCGAACGCAACAGGTTTCCAAACTGTCCTCATGTTCCTGGACTTTGTGGTTGAACAACATTGAAAACAGCTTTGGTATCCAAAAGTAACTTCACAACACAGGACTCTCTTGAAAAAGAGAGTTATAATCTCTATGAGACCTATCCTGGTTAAATAAAAGGTAAAATAAAATAAACAACATTCTGCGGCCGTTTAATTGTCTCTCTAATAAAACGCATTTTATTTTTTAAGGGTCGGCCGTGTGTGTATGTGTGTGTGTGTGTCTTTATTTGTAGAGGAATTTTGCCCTTCTCTCCTTCTGAGTGGCAAACCTCTCAATGACTCTGGTGTTGAAGTCAGGAATGCTGCTAATTAGTTATTTCTCAATTGACAGCAGAGCCAGAGCATTCAGGCGATCCTGTGTCATGCTGTTCCTCAAGAAAGTCTTGATCCTTTTCAGAGTGGAAAAGCACCTCTCTGCCTCAGCCGTAGCCATGGGTGTGGTTACAAGAACCTTCAGAAGACTGACAGTCTCTGTGAATGTCTCCTGCAGATTGTTGTCAACAAAGAACTGGAGCAGATTAACAGCACCACTGCAAGCCCTGAACTGGTCAGTGTCATAGACGAGGGACAGTTCCGTCTTGAGCTTTGCCTTGCCCAGTAGAGGGAAGGCCTCCACAGTTGTTTTCAGCGCTGCTTCAGGGAATGTTTGGCTGTGTTGCTCGAACAGGTCTCCTTGCAGGAGGGTGGCGCTGATCAGGTGTTTGGTGAAGGAGAATCTCTCCTTTGCGTGACTCAGTATGGTATCACATACCTATGAAATAATGCACAATGAAAAAATCAAGACATAATAAATAACAGAATCACCTTTTCACATCTATCAGTCATTATGTCATTAGTGTTCCCTATACGATGTGTAACAAACAAAGAGCTTTCTTGTGAATGGAACCTATCAGAATAACAGGACATCTATCTGAGCGTCAACAGAACAATATTACTGTTTAAAATGAAGTCACTACAATATATACATTTAATGACTGTTTACACTTCATTCATTTATTGTTGGGCCCTTTCTGTCCCCTGTGGTTGCTTCTGGAGGCCTAAACCTTTTCTGATCTGTCTTGATCCCCTTTGAAATGTAGAGACTGTGGGACACTTTTTGCAGTTTAGGCCTTGTTAAGTGTATACAATTCAGAATGTAATAAGCAATAGGCCTTTTATGTGGATATTTTAACTAGCCTACCTATTTATTGAATTTACAGAAAATGGGCTTTATTGTGAAATGTATCATTATTGTGATATGAAATTACCTATATTATTAAAGGATACCACCACGTTCCTATTACTGCTTACCTCTCTAGCCAACCGCTGTTGCTCTTCATGTCCAAGTCCCCTCTGTTTTGTTGTGGGCGGCTGTTGTACAGATCCATCAGGAGGAATGGAGTCCCTGATCCAAACCACAAGTAACCATGTACAATTACTCATTGTGGGAAGAATTGACAAATTAGGTTTGACTATTTGAAATAGTAGTCAGAGATACACCTTATAAACGTTATATCATATATACATTTCCAGTTAGCCTGTTTAAGGTATTTAAACAAGTATGTATGAGTTGGTCTATTGTGTTCAGCTAAATCACATTTAGGTTTCATAGATTTCCTATAATAAGCACATCTCAGCCATTGTAAATAATGATTTACCTGATTGTCTGTATGCTGCTGGTGAACCTCTTGATGAGTCCTTTGATGTAGACAGAGTCGATGTTCCTCTTCTGCAGTTGGCTAAACAGCATATCTACATGTGGCATTATCTTGTGGAACAATGTCAGGAAAAAGCCAAAAACGTCATCTTCCATCATTCTCACAAAGCCCCCAGCTTCTCTCACTGTTATGGGATCAAAGTCACCTGAGTCTCTGATTGTCTTGAAACACTTCAGGATGTGCTCCTTCTGCTCATACATACACAGTGTTAACAGCATGTCTGTGAAAGTTCCATCGTGTTGTGGAAGTGCCAGGAAGTCTGTGTGCCACCACTTGATCCAGGATCGCAGTTCTCTTAAAAGACCTGGAGAAAAATGCAGCAAATCCACCAAGGTCTGAACAAAAATGCACTTATTTTGGGGATGTGGGATGTTGCCTGCTGCATAATGAGGTTCAGCTGATGCGCATAGCAGTGGATGTAGTGCGCACTACTGTAAACATCCTTCACTTTCCGCTGAACTCCACCTTTAGCTCCCCTCATCATCGCTGCACCGTCATAGGCTTGGGCGATTAGTTTGCCCTGTTGTCCATCGGGGAGTATAGTGCCCAGCCTCTCCATCAGCGCGGTGGCAACTGTGTCAGCATTCGCATTTTGAAGAGGGATGAACTAAAAAAAAACGCTCCTGGACGTTGTTATGGGGATCGATGTAGCGTAGCACAAGGACTAACTGGCAGTGGGTGGAAATATCAGTGGTCTCATCCGCCTGAATAGCTAAATAACTGGCATTTTTTACCTCCTCCATAATGTAATTTTTACTAACTGCTAATATGCAGTCCAACAGTTCATTTTGCACCGTCTTTGAGGTGCCTTTGAAAACGGTAGCCGTTTTA